GCGTCCGCTGCAGCGGGCGTCTGGGGGTGCAGTGTGGCGGGGCTCCCTGTTTGGGCTGCAGTTCCCTCTTTGTTGTGTGGTGCAGTACATGCCGGAGGGGGGCCGGACAGATCCGTTTATCACGCTGATCAGAAAAAGCAGAGATTGAAGAAAACCTGTTAGATCCCAGCTCCCTTCTCCCCCCCTTCGTTAACGCTTGCTAATTCTCAACGGCGTGTCTCCTGCCGCCTCATCCAGCCTGGCTTTAAACCTTTCCAGCGACAGGTCTTTCATCACTCCCCTGGGGAGGCTGTTGCACGACTGTGAGATTTAATAACAACACAAATACCCTGAGCACTGCCATAACCCTGCACAGCCAGGCATCTCCCAGGGCTTCACAAAGGAGAGCAGCTCTGTTTTCATCGGGGGGGGGGGAGGGAGGGCGGGGGATGAGAACAGAAAAAATGAAATTATTGGTCCGCTGTCACCCCAAAATTATCAGCAGAGCTGGGAATCAAGCCCAGGTCTCCCCAGGCTCAGTCCGGTGCTGTAACTACCACGTTTTGAGCCTGTCTGATCCCCTTGGATCACTTGAGACAAGCTAAGCTACCTTGTAGGTCATATTTTTGATCAATTGTCTGCTGATTTTTGTTCATGGGGTCGGTATCCATTTCGAAAGAACATGATCATTCAGCAGCCTGGATCATGCTTTGGAAACTGGGCTTTGTCCACCGAAGACATCGTGTGAGGGCTCTCGCAGGGAAGACATCTGGTGCCCCAGCTGAGCTGTCGTGTATTTAAGGCCAGGAGTAGTACATCTGCAGCATTATTAACGTAGATTACAGAATAATTGCAGGGCAACCAATCAAGCCTAGTCCGAAACAGCTCCAGTGTTAACGTCCTTTACAAATGGGAGCCCTGCAAGAAGCAAATTCCCCGTTAAGGAGTGAGGGTCTGTCACAACCAGCCTGTTGGGCTTTGCAAAGTGACTGGATGCATCTTCTTTTTCATACACCTCAAAACTAGGTTTCTGACCTTTTTTGGTCAAGAAAAATCCCACGAGACTTCTCATTAGGGAAGGGAGTTCCTCTTCTGGTTTCCTCCAGCGAGTCAGTCCCGTGAGCCTACACCTACCCCCTCCGGTCCTACATGGCAACAGGGTTTTTCTTTTCTATTTTGCCCATCCTCAGCTTTTGCAGGGTGGTTGTCCATTGTCAGGCAGCTGCCATGTTCCCCCAGAGGTGTTTGCCTTTCACTTTCCAAATAAGTCATTTTTATCAGCCATCTGGGGGTGTTGCAGAGCTTACCTAGCTGCTAGCAAAAGCGCTGGGATGGAAAACATTAAATCTGGGTGAAGGGATTATCGCCATCAATATTAAGCGCACTTTAGACGTATTTCTCACCCTCTGGTGTGCCCCTAACCCTCTCCATCTGGCCAGCTCAGGGGTTTTCAGGCACAAGGAGCCTCAGCAACCTCTGCTGTGCCTCTCCAGGGCTGGCTTTTCCCAGCACACTCACTGCTCCACTGAAGTCTGGTGGCCTCGCAGAGCACCAGATCCTCTACTGGGCTGTTTGGCATCTTGGATCCTAAAACGGAGGATGGAGGTGAAGGCTGAACATAGTCAGGGCAGCTCAAAAAGAACGATCTTTTGAGATAGATTTAACCTACAAATATGTTTTTGGTGGCACTTTTTTTTTTTCTGGACACAATCTGCGTGTTGGACAGCAAACGCAGGAGGCCACCGCAGCTCTCACAGGGGTGGTGGGGAGACAGGGACCACGGAAAGTGGTTGTGCTGTGTTTTGGGGTGCTGGGAACAGGGCTCGCTCCTGCTCTTGCTGCATCTGCAGACAGCGAAGCAGCAGAAGCTCTCACGAGGGACTGGCAGGGCTCTCTCAGAGCCTTGCTTAAGATACGGGCTAACCCACACAGGAAATGCAAGTCCGAAGTCCGGTGTTTTACAGGTGATATTCCACGAGAGGAGATTAGCCAACATTTACAGGTTATGTTTGGGGAAAGGGGAAATTACAGGCAATTACAGGTCCACTAATTGGAGTACAGTAAAAGGTGAGTTTCTAGAACAGGTTAGGCAGCAGAATCAAATGCAGCATGGTTTTAACACAGATCATGGCAAGTGGGCTCAGTATCTCCCTTGGGTATGATAACTTCTGAATCAACACGGCCTCACGAATCCGGGTTTAAGGAAAGCACTTGATACAAGCAAATGACTAATTAAAGTGGAGATAGGAAAGAGGATAGGGAAGAGACAGCAAAACGGAAGGAGGACACTTGGATCCTCCAATAATGAGAGATGAAGCGACTGAACTTGTTAACAGTCCCTTTAGCAGTCAGGAGATCTGCCCACGGTGAAAAAAACCAGACCAGCAAACAGGAGGATGAGACCGGAGTCCCAGAAATGCCTGAAGTAGAGCTGTGCCACAGCAGGCACTTGGGCAGCTGCAACACGAAGCTGCGGTAGCCTGGAGGGACTTCAGCAAGTGGAGGGCACTGAAGAAGAAAGAGCATCTAGGATTTCTGGCAGAG